GCACCTTGTTGTCTACAATGTGTATTAATGACTTAGATGAAGCAGCTGAAACTTCTTGTGGCACAGTGGTGGTGTCACTACATCTGAAGCAGCATTCAAGTACCACCTGCTCCAGAAACTATTAATGTCAACTCTGAATAGGTTGATTACAGGAAATATCTAGATAAATGTAACATATCCATGGTTACTGATGTAATGTGATAAATCCACATGATTGGATGGATGTAGTAACACGGGAGAGCATGCAGAGCAGTTTCACTGGGCTGTTGCTTGAGCTGGAGCATTTTAGTTACGAAAAGAGATTAGAGAGACTGGAGTTGTTTCTCTTAGAACAGAAGAGATTGAGAGAGGAATGTAATAGAGATGTCTATAACTATGATTGGCATAAATAGGTAGGCAGGGAGAAACGCTTTCTGTTAGAGTCAGTCATACAGCGCAGAAACGGACCTTTTAGCCCAACTCGTCCATGCTGACAGGGCTTCCTAAACATAACTAGTCCCGTTTGGCTGCATTTGGCCCATCTCCATCTAAGCCTTTTCTATCGATGTACCTGTCCGGATGTATTTTAAATGTTGTAACAGTACTTGCATCTACTACTTCCTTGTTCCTCATACGAGCCACCCTCTGTGTGGAAAAAGTTGCCCCTTAGGTCTGTTTTAAACCTTTCCCTTCTCACCTTAAACCTATGCCCTTTTGGATCCCCTACCCTGGGGAAAAGACCTTAGCTATTCACTTTATTTATGCCCCTCATGGCTTTATAAACCTCCTCGGCTCCAAGGTTAAAAAGTCCCAGCCTCCCCTTAACTCAAACCCTCCAGTCTCGGTGACATCTTTGTAAATCATCTTTGCGCTCTTTCCAGTTTAATAACATCAGTCCAATAGCAGGACAACCAGAATCATACGTATTATTCCAAATTTGGTCTTACCAATACCCTGTACAGTCGTAACGTGATGTCCCAATGCTGGTACTCCGTGTTCTGACTGAAAGCAAGCATGCCAACTGCCTCCTTCACCAGTCTGCCAACCTGTGATGCCACTTTCAAGGAATGATGTACCTGCGCCCTAGGTCTCAGTTTGATCACACTCTCCAGGGCCCTGCCATTAACTATGTAAGTCCTGCCCCAGTTTGTGAGGATCTTTGTATTTCTAGAGGTCTACTCTGTAGCCAGGAAGGAACTGAAGAATGGACTTAGGAGAGCTAGAAGGGGGTATGAGAAAACCTTGGCGGGTAAGATCAAGGAAAACCCCAAGGCGTTCTATACTTATGTGAGGAACAAGAGGATGGCCAGAGTGAGGGTAGGGCCAATTGGGGATAGTAGAGGGAATTTGTGCATGGAGTCCGAGGAGGTAGGGGAGGTCATTAATGAATACTTTGCTTCAGTATTCACCAGTGAGAGGGATCTTGACATTTCTGAGGACAGCATGAAATGGGCAGATATGCTCGAACAGGTTGATGTTAGGAAGGAGGATGTGCTAGAAAAACATGAGGATAGATAAGTCCCCTGGGCCAGACAGGATATACCCAAGATTACTACGGGAAGCGAGGGAAGAGATTGCTGCCCCTTTGGCAATGATCTTTGCGTCCTCACTGTCCACTGGAATAGTACCAGAAGATTGGAGGTTGGCAAATGTCATTCCCTTGTTCAAGAAATGGAATAGGGATAATCCTGGAAATTACAGTCTTACCTCTGTGGTGGGCAAATTATTGGAGAGGATTCTGAGAGATAGTATTTATGATTATTTGGAAAAGCACAATTTTTGATTAGAAATAGTCAGCCTGGCTTTGTGAGGGGCAGGTCATGTCTCAAGCCTTATTGAATTCTTTGAGGATGTGACAAAACATATCGATGAAGGTAGAGCAGTGGATGTGGTGTATATGGATTTTAGCAAGGCATTTGATAAGGTTCCACATGGTAGGCTCATTCAGAAAGTAAGGAGGCATGGGATTCAGGGAAATTTGGCTGTCTGGATACAAAACTGGCTATCCAATAGAAGACAGAGGGTGGTAGTAGATGGAAAGTATTCAGCCTGGAGCTCGGTGACCAGTGGTGTTCCACAGGGATCTGTTCTGGGACCTCTGCTCTTTGTGATTTTATAAATGAGTTGGATGAGGAAGTGGAAGGGTGGGTTAGTAATTTTGTCGATAACACGAAGGTTGATGGAGTTGTGGACAGCGTGGAGGGCCACAACGGGATGTTGACAGGATGCAGAGCTGGGCAAAGAAGTGGCAGATGGAATTCAACCCAGAAAAGTGTGAAGTGATTCATTTTGGAAGGTCGAATTTGAATGCAGGATACAGGGTTAATGGCAGGATTCTCGGCAGTGAGGAGGAACAGAGGGATCTTGGGGTCCATGCCCTTGTATCCCTCAAAGTTGCTACCCAAGTTGATAGGGTTGTAAAGAAGGTGTATGGTGTGTTGGCTTTCATTGGCAGGGGAATTGCGTTTAAGAGCCATGAGGTTATGCTGCAGCTGTATAAAGTCTGGTTGCACCACACTTGGAATATTGTGCTCAGTTCCGGCCACCTCATTATAGGAAAGATGTGGAAGCTTTAGAGAGGGTGCAGAGGAGATTTACCAGGATGCTGCTTGGACTGGAGGGCAGGTCTTATGAAGAAAGGTTGAGGGAGCTAGGGCTTTTTTATATTGGAGCGAAGACGGATAAGAGGTGACTTGGTAGAGGTGTACAAGGTGATGAGAGGCATAGATAGAGTGGACAGTCAGAGACTATTTCCCAGGGCAGAAATGACTATTACGAGGGTACAGAATTTTAAGGTGATTGGAGGAGGGTATAGGGGAGATGTCAAAGGTAGGTTCTTTACTCAGTGGTGGGCATGTGAAATGCACTGCCAGCAGTGTTAGTGGAGTCAGATACTTTAGAGACTTTTAAGCAACTCTTGGATAGGCACATGGAGGATAGTAAAATGTAGGGTATGCAGGGTAGTTTGATCTTAGTAGGATAATAGGTCGGCACAATATCGTGGGCCAAAGGGCCTGTACTGTTCTATGTTCTATGTTCAGTGCATCTTGTAGGTAGGATACACTGCTATTGAGCATTGGTGGAGGAGGGAATGGATGCTTGTGGATGTAGGACCAGTCAAATGGGCTGCTTTGTCCTGGATGGTGTCAAGCCTCTGGAGTTTTGTCAGGGCTGCATTCATCCAGAGAAGTGGGGATTTCTCCATCATACTGCTGACTTGTGCTTCGAAGATGGTGGACAGGCCTTGGGGAGTCAGGAGGTGAGTTACCTGCTGCAGTTATCCCAGTCTCTGACCTGCTGTTGTAGCCACTGTGTTTATATGGTGAGTCCAGTTGAGTTTCTGGTCAATGATAACCCCCAGGATGTTGATTAGTGGGAGATTCAATGATGGTAACACCATTGAAGGTCGAGGGGTGGTGCTCATAACTTGGCATTTGTATGGCACACATGTTACTTGCCACTTGTCAGCCCAAACGTGGATATTGTTCCGATCTATTTGCATTTGAACATCGACTGCTTCAGTATCTGAGGAGTCGTGAACGGTCCTGAACATTGTGCAATCATCAGCAAACATCCCTACTTCTGACCTTATTATGAAGGGAAGGTCATTGATGAAGCCGCTGAAGATGGTTGTTCCTAGGTCACTACCCTGACGTACTCCTGCTGA